AATAAATAATATTAAAACAGATTTAAATATCAAAATAGATTTAAAGTTATTTTATTTCTAAAATTCCCACATAGATGGCGCCACTAGAGTAAAAGTATGATATTATTTATGTGTTATGTAATAAGAGATGACGTCATAACTTCATAATATACAATATCTCCCCAAATAACAAAGTTTCTAAGTGTTGCCATCCTTAAAAACTAGTATTAAAAATAATAAGTGTTGCCACCCTCAATAAACTTATAAATTAAATAATATTTAAAAAAAACGAAACTAAATTAAAAACAGAAACCGAAACTAAAAATATATTAGGCTTAAGAAAAAAAGAAATAAGCTCCCCATGACGCTGCAGACGAAGTTTCAGGCGGGCAGAAATAAGCAAGCGGGCAGAAATAAGCAACTTCCGGTTTGTAGGTGGGCAGAAATAAGCAACTTCCGGTTTGTATGTGGGCAGAAATAAGCAACTTCCGGTTTGTAGGTGGGCAGAAATAAGCAACTTCCGGTTGGGGCAGAAATAAGCTCATGTTGACTGTGACGTCACTTCCGCCGCATATATGCCTGCTATTACTACTCTCGTATGATTTTAGAACAGTTTGTTCTATTATCCGGGGAAAAAGGTAGCATGGGGCTTTTTCAGCCTCCTTTCCTGGAAATCAATCAAAAATTTCGATTAAATCGTTCAGGGGAGACATTAGAAAAAATGGAATTTTTTCATTGTTTCAGAATAAATAAAATTACAGACTATTCTGTTTTATCTATCAAATATTTAAAAGGTTATATTATTCCTATTTTCTCGGTTATAACTCTCACTCACAAAAAAGGATTTTATTGCACGTTCTTCGATGTATAATTATTTTTTTATTCGTTATGTCATATAAACTCAATGGTCAACATGAACGCAATTGGTGGGGACTACGACGCTAAATTAGTAACTCGAATGTTTTCTAAGACCATGAGCTTATTTTTTTAAAACGTTTTTATATAAATCTAAATAATTTGAAATCAACTGTATTTGAAATAAAAAAAAATGTGTTACGTTCTAAAAACAGAAACAAAACTAATAATAAAATAATACCAATTTACTTAACATTAAATATCTCCATACTATTATAGACAGACGAAAATGATACCTAATTGATTTTGATAACTGTCACTACTTATATTAAGTATTTATCAATCAGTTTTAGTATTTATCAAATATACTAAGATAGGTGCAAAATATTACTTTAGTTGAATGAGCTTTACTCTTTGAAGAGTTTTAGATACTGTAGAAAGACTTTTTTTTACAGCCTTTCGAAAGGAATAAGTAAAGTAGAAATTTGCCTGATTTGTAGTAAATTTTGACTATCATTATTTGGCCTCGAGCAATAGCCTTTGATGACATTAAATACGGTTACTCTTTATTTTGATGGAATGAATTACTTAAAACATGTTTTGCTTAATCTAATAACATAAAGTCATTGAGAAAGGGAATAAATAATACTACATTTTTAAAAAAGTTGGAATTATTTATGCTTTATTAGTAGGGTCGGTATATTTCCTTCCGAAGTGTAGATAAATATCGTAGTGTAATCGTAGTTTCGTAGTGATGATAAATAATGATTTATTGATTATTTACTTCATTTACCATAAGAAGAATGCGTTTTCAGTTTGGAATGTTTATAAAAACTAGGAACAGTGGCTTCCTGTAATATTAGAACTGACAGTAGCGCCTTTTGTAAATTGTCGGATCAGCCACCCCTGGTTAAAAACTTTTTAAGATCTTTTAATAAGATAAAGTAAGATATTTCCTTATATTCTGAATGGTTTCATGTTTTTTTTTTCACAGGATGAAGATAGAGGATATAGTAGAGATAATTCGGTAAGTTAAGTTTTCGTACTAAATCAAAATTTTATTTATCAATTAACTAAAAGAAAAAAAAATTAGCAAACAACCTTTCAACAATTGTTAAAAGACTTTCTGATAGCAATAATTTGGATAGGTTTTGGTAAATAAGTCAGCGATCCTTTTTCCTACACACCATGTGATGAGAACTTTTGCCATTGTATCAAAACAGTAATTATTCTTCTATTTTTAGCGTTTGTGTGTACATCTTGATTATGAGAGTTTTTCCATGGGGAAATGGAGTGATATTCCGTGTCATCGTAGACTAGCATATGTTTGTCAAAAGTCTACAAGTAAGTATACGTTACTTTGTGATATCCAATCAAATTTGGAATGAAAATCTGTTAAAATCATATGCATATGTCTCTTAAAAACGAAATAGCATAATCTTAGTCAACCCGTTGAAAGCGCTAAAGTGTCATACGTCCAAAATTTGCCTTCAAATGCATTAAAAATTATAGAATTAAACATAAATTGAAAATAAATAGTGAAATAAATTAAAAGAAACATAAGTGTAACTTAGGACTGTTTTAGAGGCACAGGGCGTGCATTCATGTGGGAACTTTTCTGTGCGTAACTATTTAACAAAACAAATGTGTTATTTGTGTCCTAAGTCCAATTTAATAAATACTTAAAAATAGAAATAGAGGAAAATAAGTTCACATTCAATACTTTAAATGAAAAATAATTTCTAAACTGAATTTGAGCTAAGTATACAAATAAATGTTTTACTTTCTAACTCTCTACGTGAATTTTATAAGTTCTAAGTTTAATCTTCAATATTTCCTGTGTGATCTCCTATTTCTTTTTAGTTTAACCTGAATTCTTAATTTTATGTATGTAAATTCAGATTAGCCTTTTTTAATTCTCGATACAGATACTTATTTGCTCTTTCTTACTCTTTTTTATGTTTTTAAGTTTAATCAAAAAGGTTCTGCCTCCTCTGCGCTTTGCTCACAAATCTTCACTCAATCATTTTTGCTTATTGACAATAAACAAATTAATGCATAGTTTGTGTAAGCTAAGAACTCCTCCCGTCACAAAGTCTGAGGCAATCTGGTGCTATGGAAACAAGAATGGTGCATTTTAAGGGGGATAGCTTCACTCTTGGACTAACACAATAGACCGAAGAGATTTCCTTTCTCTCGCACCCCTACTTGAAATAGTCCCCGCCCCAGATCAAGATGAATGTCTGGAGGAGTTCTTATTTTAGGCAAACTATACCAAAATTATAAACTATTCATAAGCGAAAACGAAAAACTGTGGATTTTTTTGTGAAACTATGTATCTAATGATCTGATTATTAGATCAAAAGTTATTCAATATTATTCTTTTTCTGTTTTTTTTATGACTATAATAGATGGCCAAATATTCATCACTGAAATCAACTTTTTTTATTTCATATACAGATTTAAAGTAGTTACCTTTGTTTCAACCTCAATTTTTTAACCTCAAAGAAGTTAATTTTGCTTCAACCTCAAAAAAGTTACTCTTCGTTTTAGCCTAAAATGAGTTAATTTTGCTTAAACCTCACTGAATTTAACTGTTTTTTTTAAAACTCATCAATGAAATTAGTTTGTCTATAATTTACAATTCATCAAGTTATTTCAAAAGAATTAAAATACAGATGTCTCTTTAAATTGGCAGATCCATTATTGACGGAACCATCAAAGGACCCTTTTATGTGTGGCAACATTACTGGATGGAGCAGAGTAGGAACAACATGTTACGGTATCTTTGAAGACAGTCAATTGTCTTGGGTTGAAGCTCAGGCTAAATGCAGAACATACGAAGCCAATTTAGCCACTTTTACTTCGTATGCCGATGCTATTTTCTTGAAGAAAAAAATCAGGAGGCAAGATCAATTCTTCTGGATAGGAGTAAGAGAAACTGTAAGTTCTTAAAATCAGCTTGATTTCGCGATTATTATGGGCGGAAGTATTTAAACACGTTAGGGATTTAAAATGATTAAAAACGTCCACTTTCACTGTTAGTAATTTCTCTGAAAAATAGTTAAATAACAATTTATTTAATTGTTATTTTATCATATCCAAACAAAATAGTCAAATAACCATAGAGAAAGTGATATTCAAACTATTAACTGTGAGAAAAACTATTGCTTTCACCTAATATGGTTAAAAAACCAGAATTTCATCGCACCAATTAAGCTTATCTAATGAAGGCACTTAGTTCCTTGCAGTTGAGAAGATATTATAGCCGAGCGGGGTAATCTGTCAGCCTCATTACCAACAGAACGAGGGTTCGAATATCAGCTTTGATACCACAATACTTCTTCCATTCCCTTCAACACATGAAAAGTTTCCAGTGTCCTGCACTTCCGAATTTGTGACCCTGTACTCATCAATACGAGAATAATCTATGTGATGAAGAATTGGCTAGATAAAATGAGGAAAAAAAGAATTTATATATAGGTGTGGCATCATGTATGAATCAAAATTATATTTCATATAAAATACTTGACAACTTCTTTATGCAAAAATTAATCAATAACTAGAATAAAAGTTAAGAAAAAACTTAAATATAGAAAAAAAAATTTTATTCATTTGAATAATGGCTTAAGTTACAGATTTTAATTCGGTGAATATGGCTACTTCACCCAAATTGACCTGCAGCATTTAAATCTACATAATTGCAACCTAACTTGATGATCTATCTAACTTAATAACCGCATAAGTGTAACCGAGAAGTAATATTTTCAAAAAATTGCAAAATTTTATATGTTTTTTTAGGGTGGAGATCGGTAATTTTACCGAAGCGCGTTGGTAATGATTATGAAAAAATTAACAATGAAATTTTGTTTTATAATATATGATAAAATTTGGTAAATTTGGTTAAAATTTGGTTTATCAGGATACCTTAGAGCATGGCATAAAAACTATTTATTTTGTTAATTTTACTTTTCCGATTCGTTTTTATTGTTTACTAATTGTGTGGTAATCGAACTAGAATACTGAAAACCAGAATTTCTGGTAAACCATTGCTATATGAACAGAAAAATTATCAAATTAATAGCTGAAATACCATATACTTAGGTTTTATTGAACAAATTTACGCTTTTTTTCATTACAAATGACAATACCATACAATACGATAATATTCCAAGAATTTTTTTCTTCTTGCACTGCTTATTAGACTTCAAATCCTATAAAATAGTGATTTTTCCAAACTTTGCAATCATATTTAGAAAATGAATCAGTATGTACCAGTGATAAAACGTGAAACTACCTATGCAAACTGGTTCAGTGGGCAACCTCGGCGAAAATCACAAATTAACAACTGCGTGTCCATGGATAGCCAAGCAAGATGGATAGTGCAAGATTGCACAGAAAAGAAGTCTTTCGTTTGTGCTCTGAGTACTGAACGTGAGTATTAATTTATTTATTTAAGGTAAATCTTGCCTAACTTTCCGTCTTTTAAGCAACCCCAGTGCACAAACAAAAACAGTCTATTACACTCTATTATATATATATTAACCTTTGTAAAGACGTTTTTATATATTTTAGGATACTTTTTATAAAATTGCCTGATTTATAATTGGATACTTGCAGGTGTAATCGTAGGTAAATCGTGGCATTTGTTGATTCAGCCAATCGGATCAGCCAATCAGATTCGACATTCACGCGTTACGTCGCTTACAGATATCCAATTAGATCTGATTTAAATCCCGTGGTTAAGCGTAATCACTTCACTTCTTTTCGAGTTCAAGCATCCGACTATCTTAAATACCAAAAGTAATTTTCTCCTATTTTGTTGTAAAGACAACGAAACTAATAACATAAATTATGTTATAAATTTCATTATCTACAGATAATTATCTTATATAAACTTAATTATCTAATATAAACGATGTGTTTGTTTTCTGAAGTAACCAGCGCCTTCTGGGTCCATAAGATATTAAATTTAGGCACATATTAGGTAAATCTGAATGTAAATGATTGTAAACAAGTTCAATCTTGGTTTGATTTCTCGCTCAATCTGTCTACGTATATACGTTTGTGTGTGAGTGTGTATGGGTGTGTTTGTAATGGATAAAAATAAAAATATAGAACCAGCATTGAATTAACCATAACTAGTAGTGATATGCATTCTCTTTTTAAATATATATTTTAGAAGAAGAATATAAGAATAGAGGAACATATGAATCTATTTTAGAAAACAAAATGGAGGAAGAAATAAAGCCTACAGTTGGTGCGATTATTGAAAATGACCTTGTTTGTCCTGAGAATGCTACCTGGGTCAAGCTCGGAAATATTTGTTATTACTTTTCAACTAACTATAAATTCTGGCTCAAGGCTATGTTTCTCTGTCATCAAGCAGGTGATTTTCTTCTTCTTTTTCTTTAAGATTTTATACGATTTTATCTTCTTTGAGATTTTATTTATTAAGATTTTATGTCAATGTAACTTTTGTATTACATATTTATTCCAAAAATATAAATGTAATGCAAGTAAATCTCATATAAAAAACGGTGATAAAATAAAAAGTTTTAAAAACTACATTTTTCAGGTTCACTAATGGGAAATAATATTTTTTTTCTCTTCTAAAAAGATTTATAGTGTAAATTGGTCGAAATTTTGAATGGTAATAAATTCACTTTCTAACATTTAGGAAAGAATCTTAACTTATATTGGTAACAGGTACAGAGCACTACTTAAGAATTTGAGCAGTCTACGCTGTTAAAAAGGGCTTCGCAAAATTGAACAAAAACGTGTCGAAATAACTTCAAAACAAATAATAGTCGAATTCGAAAACCTTGTGTATTTAAAATGGAAACAGCATATATTTATTTTTTAGCAAAAGTGATGTAGAGGAAGAAATGTGCGAGATAGATGTTCGTTGGCTGCCGGCAGGATTCGAGCCAAGGACCTCCGGGTTAATAGTAGGATGTTCTATCTAACTTAGTTGTGCGTCTCAGTCAGAGAGGGTTAGAAAGCTTTATATAGTGGCCTCCTCAATGATGCGTCTTGACATATATTGCAATAGTTTAAACGTGCTTAAGATACAACGAAATAAGCAAAAAGTGAAATTAAAAATACTGATTCCTTGACTAAGCTATTGGAACCATATTTTCTAAGTTGTAACCCTTCGTACCGTTAAAATTGGAAATTAGTATGTCATGATGTGTCATTGTGGGGTGCCCCTACATAAAGCTTTCTAACTCTCCCTGGACTGAGGTGTAGAAATAGTGAGGTTGGAACATAGTACCACAAACCCTGTGGTGCTTGGTTAGAATCCTGTTGGCCGCCAACGTACATCTGCCTCGCTCCGTTCTCCCTCCACATCACTTTTGAGACAAAGAATTTGCTCATAAATGAATATATGCTGTTTCAATTTTGAGTATTCCACTATTATTCGTTTTGAAGCTATTTTGACTCATGTCTGCTCAATTTTGAGAAACCCTTTTTTTACAGGGTACGTATAGTCAGAAAGTTATTGAAATTTCGTTGAAGTTAAATTATTCATCTCGGTAACTCAGTCAAATATGACGCAGTTCTCTAGATTGAAGTTAAATTATTCAGCTCGATAACTTGGTTAAATTGCCACAATTTTAAGGCTTTATCAAATTTGAACTATAATGGTTCAACGTAATCTGATATTTTTAACAGAATGTAATAGAGTTTTAATTTAAAACTTTTAGGTGGCAGTTTAGCCAGCTTTCATTCATTAGAAGAAGTTAAATTAGTTCAGAACTATCTTAAGCAGGAAGGCTACAATACACTTTCATCATTCAGTATTGGTCTCGGAAGAGGAGCTCGTGGTAAGAAATTAATTTTAATCGTTTTTCTTTACACCACTTTAAGATTACACAGACCGTCTTGTAAGTTTTTATCTAAGGAATTATAAATGAGAAATACGGATCATTGATCGTTGTATATATATATACATATATATATATATATANATATATATATAAATAAAAACTTTTAATAAAAATAACAATGAAATAGATATAATCTCTTCATCAGCTCACACGATTACTTCCACAAAAATAGTGCTTTCAAGTAATTAATATTACTATAGTCAAAGCAAAATATATCAGTGCAATAGTGTGAGGAGCACCAAAAACAGAAGAATTTAAAATATTTGATCCCATTAAAAAAGTTTAATATTGTTAAATGTTATGAATGTTATAAAACTCTACACAAAAGTGTTTTAATTATTATAATATTAGTAAAACTTCCGGAAACATGAAATTATCCGATTATGTATGTTATTGTGAAGAAGAGAAATATTTTGAATTTGCAGATAAATATCATGAAAATACTATTATTGGTAATTAAAATTTATATAAACTTTAGAACTGAGAAATTTATCGTTAAAAGGCGCAAAAATTCTTTCTAAATGATCTCATTTGTCTGAAGATTTTCAATAGGCTATCTCCAGAAAAGAAAAATTCTGTATTAGATTTTTAAATAAGGAATTAATAAATAGTAATATTATCATTATAAAGATTTTAGCTTTTGACCAGAGTTTAAAAATTAAAATTGATATTGTACAATTTCTATATATAATAATCAGTCCAAAATGTCATAACTTACATAACTAAAGCTTACTTAACCAAATCTAACTACTTAAATAAAATTATTAAAAATATAATTAGAAGTTGTTTTTCATGAATAATTACCAATAAACTACCTATGTTAGATTTTATTAAAACACAACAAAATTAAATCTATGCCAATCTTTGATTTTCAAGATTTCTTTAATGGCATTAAATTTCTAAACTAAAGGATGTGCTTTTCAATTATTACTGTGTTTATAAAAATATCCTGATTTGAAAATTTAACTGGGAAATTTTAATCATCTGCATCTTTTACTTAACTAACTTCATAAATGAAAATACTTTTTTATTCAAATATATGCATCGAAGCAAGCATCTATCATTTCGTCACTTCTGGCTGACTTATTTTTATATTAATATGAAAAGGTTATACACTAAACATCAAATTTATTTTTAGATTTTTCGATGATTTAATTATCTTTAATTTGCAAAACTTTATAAAAGAATATTTACCCGAGAAATTATTCTTGCTTCTTAATCAAGACGATAATATTAATTTTAATCTTTCGGATTTAAGTATTAAAGAAGAAAATATCTGCACTGTTAAAAATAAAAGTTTTATATTCATAAGATTTAAGTTTAATATTCATAAGATTTAAGTTTAATATTCATGTAAATAAATAAATTGCATTAAATTCTAATGTTTCTGAAAACATTTACTTAAATGCGATTTTTAATCAAATAAATAGAATTAAAATTGTTGCAATATTCATTTATCTAATACCACAAATGGACATTTTTTGGTGCTTCCCACAGTATTGAATTGATACATTTTGCTTTGACTTTATTAATACAATATGTAGTTTGCTTATGCGACAATGATGACTTTGATCATTAAAACATCCTGGCATGACCTATGAAATATAATTGGGTATAATATAGCCTACGTCACAGGTTGTGTTGTTCCTACTAAATTTAACCCATGAACGGCATTTTCTGCGAGCCTAACTTCAAGCCACAAATAAACAAACGAAGTGTTCGATCGTTTAAATAGCTGCTCGTCAGATTTTATTGCATTATAAAGAAAAGTTATTGAAACTAAATACAACTAAATAAACAACAACAACTAAAACAAATAACAACAACTGCTAATAACAATAACTAAATAAACAACAACTAAATTCCATTCGTTTAGCATTGCGTCATATGTTGTTCCTACTAAATCGAAGTAGTTGTGTTTTTTTCATATTATACCCAATTAAGTATAACAGAACGTGCAATAATTTTTTTTTTTGATTAAAGATATAAGCTAGCAAACATTACTGTGTTATCTTTAAAATATTCGAAGAAACTGAAACATCTATATCTAATCTATCTATTTTATTATATAAAACTCTAATACAAAACGCTAATACGTACGTATGTATGTATCAATAAAACCGATGATATTTCTTTTCTCGCGCTGGCAACAGTTTTCATTTTTAATTGATTGGATTCGGCGCGCAAGAGCACGTAGTGAGCAACCAGATAACAATAACCAGAGTGAGCATTATCAGGTTGTTCAATT